AGAATTTTCATAGGAGAATCCTTTACCATAATCAGGATTGATTCAAAAAGAGATTAAACCCCGAACAGACTAATTACCAAGAAGGAATTCAAAAGATTGTTGGGCACAACTAACAGAGACCCCTACAGTGGTATAGGTCAGTTTAACCCTCACATAACTAATTATTTTTATGTCATTTATACTGTTCAAGAATATAGAAAAGGCCAGGCACAGTGGCGCATGCTTGTAATCTCAGCAGCTCTGGAGGCTGAGACAGGAGGATCTCGAGTTCAAAGACAGCCTCAGCAAAAGTGAGGCACTAAGCAGCTCAGTGAGACCCTGTCTCTAAATAAAATACAAAATAGGGCTGGGGATGTGGCTCCGTGGTCAAGTACCCCTGAGTTCARTCCCTGGTTCAATCCCCCCCTGAAAATATAGAACAAAATACAAAGTTTGCATATCCCTGATATCAAAACATGAAAGACTAGCAAAAAAGAAAGATATAGATCAGTCTTACTTATGAATATGTTAATATCCTAAATAAATATTAGCAAATAGAATTCTGAAGCATCTTAAACGAATAATACACAAGTGGGCTGGGTTGTGGCTCAGCGGTAGAATGYTTGCCTAGCACAATCGAGGACCTGGGTTCGATCCTCAGCACCACATAAAAAATAAATAAATAAAATAAAGGTATTGTGTCCAACTACAAATAAAAAATAAAAATATAAAAAGATTTTTAAATTTTTAGAAAAGAATAATAATTAGGAATGATTTATTCCAAGAAAGTATGGATGGTGCAATTTTAGGAAATCCACTAATATAATTAATGTCATTAATTAAATAAAGGAAAATGATCATATGGTTATTAGTAATAGACATTTTTAAAGCATTTGAAAATTCATTCTACATTTTGAGTGATAACTACGTTTTTGAAAGAATAAAAGGGAACTTCCTATACATACCAATATTGTTCTTGTTGTTTTTACTATTCAGACATTGGTTTGGTTATCATAATAGGTATCAAATGCTAAAATATTAAAAATGAAGGTAATCTGTCTTTCCAAAGTTTTTTTAAGATGAATAATCAATCAGAAATCCATTTCCCTAAAATAGCTTCAAATAATGCTGTATTCAAATTAAAATTTTCATCTCTTATAATGTTGTATTTTATTCTGAATTGAGGTAAAGAGATAAATGTGTGCCTTCACAATATCTGTGAATGTCTATAAACCACTCAAGTAGAACTTTATGGACAGTTTGCACCTGTGCTTTTGTTTATAGTATGACAGAGAAATGAAGAAGTGTGTCTCCAAATTGAAATATTAATAAAGCAGAAATAAATCATGGAACTAAAAACTAGAGCCCAGAATTGGACACTTTTCTTAGCAAAAATAGTACCTTCTCTTTGGGGAATGACTAGTTATTGAATTTTGCCCAGTCATCTTTCTAGGATGAATTGCCATAAGCTAATCATTATTTTCATCTTTGTTACACTATTATTGCTATGGATACAGTATTGTGATAGGCATTTACAGACATATGGTATATAAAGCCAGGCCTGTGCACCTCAGCCATGAACAACACATACTGTGAACTGTTACCACCAGTGRTTTACAGGTAGCAGTGAGTTCAGGAGGGTAATGGCATTCAAGCCAGGCATGTAGAGTAAGTAGAATTTCTTCATGGTGAAGAGAATGAAAAAGAGTTGCCCAGGTTAGAACAGTAAAGAAAATCATGGAGGCAGGAGCTGTAGGATATGTTTGTATAATCCAGTAGTACGCAAACCTATTAGGGTGAGGGTTCCCTGAAGAACTTAAAAGGAAAAAAAAGGAACCCACCCATGGAGAGCTAACTCGGTGGAGACAAGAAAAGGTTCAGATACCTAAGTTTTTCTAAAAGCCCCATGGATGATTCTGGTCATAGTCAAGGTTGAAAACCAGGGATATAATCATTGTGTGACTAGGGCATAAGGGATGTGCGGAAGTCCTGTAGGAGATGATGCTCGAAAGATATATTGGCATCAAATGATAACTGGGGTAAAAATTGCTTTGGTATTGTCAGTTTGTATTTTGAGTTTTATTTCTGTTACATCATCCTTTATTAGATATCAATTAAATAATCCCTAAGCAAAACTTAACCCCTGGGTGAATTTGAAGCAAAACATGTTAAATGAGATGAATAAGTCAATTTACCATATAATCAACCCAAAACTTAAAAACAACAAGCATTTTATTATTGCTCAGAGTATTGTCGGTTGACTGGACTCAGCTGGGCAGACCTGCTCTATGTGACATTGGCTGGGGCTGCAGACATCTGGGAGACTGGTGGGTCTTGAATATCTAAGATGCCTCACTCACGTGGCTTTCAGCTGACAGCTCAGCAAGGTATGTGGACCGGAGAGTCTTAGACTTCTCATAGCAAGCCATCTGAATTGCAAGAGGAAGCATCTTGAGAGCAAGCATTTGAAAGGGCCCAGGCTATAGGACTTCTCATGACCAAGCTTTGATAGTCTTAGACCTTATTTCCACCATATGCTATAGATCAAACAAATTGCAAAGGCCAATTCAGATTCAGTAGAAGATAAATGAATCCCATCCCTTGATGGGGGAAGCAGCACATGTATAAAAAGAGACAAGGAAATTGATGGGAGCCATTTTTAGAGACTCTCCACCTCCATCTTAATGCACCAAATAACATACTATCAAGATACATGCGGTGGTGCATGCCTGTAATCCCAGCAGCTCAGGAGGCTGAGGCAGGAGGATTGGGAATTCAAAGCCAGCCTCAGCAAAAGCAAAACCCTAAGCAACTCAGTGAGATCCTATCTTTAAGTAAAATACAAAATAGGGCTGGGGATGTGGCTCAGTGGTTGAGTGCCCCTGAGTTCAAACCCCAGTAYGCCCCCAAAATAAAATACATAAAACTGAATGTCAATAACAATACAGTTAAATCAATAAAAATAAGGGGGTCTGATTAATATAAAATGCTTATATAATAAATTTATGTATTCCCAATTCTTTATTTGGCAATAATACATCCTCATTTCAGGTCTCCATAGAATATCTGCCTCTCTCTCCCTAAAATAGGAAGCACTTGATCCCTGTACACACATAAATCTGAAGCCCTAACATGATATTTTCCTCAGCTCTCAACCTGKCTGAAATAATTACCGCTTTGTTTGTTTCATCTACTTTATACTGTTCTATACTAAGTGGGTTCTCCAGTTTGGGGAATCTGCTGTGAATGACCTTTCTTACACATGGTATGAATATTTGGGTTACATCTTTTAAGTTCTTCCCCATTTTTTATTTGTTTTCTGTAAAGAGCAGCATGGAAGGGGGTTTTATTTTGATTTCCCACAATGTCATGATAAGAGCAGTTTTGACTCGCCCTGGGTGMTCTGTAGACTTCAAGGTCACCATCCAGCAGCCATGGAATCTTCTGATTTTCCAACACTGACCTGGGAATTGAGCTGGAGTTATTGCCATCACCTGTTTTTTCTTTTTTTAAGTCCCTTAAGGGAAAAAAAAATAGTTTTAAGGGTTTTATTTGCTTGCTTTGTTTTTGTCTTTGACTTGCTTTCTGAAGCTTGTTATTTCACCATCCTGTTAAGATAGCGTTTGAGATGGGAACCCAGGTGGTGGGGATGATGTAATTTCCTGGCCTGTGACTGATGAGTCCTATTTACTTATGCATCTATCAGTGAGTGTCCTCATATGATTTATAGGGGTTCTTTCTGAACTGGGTCTTGTCATTAAGCCACCCAGAATCAGAAGATTAAGCCCACAGCCATCTTCCTCAGTAATGCYGAGATCTGTTTGTCATTGCAGGTCGTCACGCTGTGGTACCGAGCTCCGGAGGTCTTGCTCCAGTCCAGCTACGCCACCCCCGTGGATCTCTGGAGTGTTGGCTGCATATTTGCAGAAATGTTTCGCAGAAAGTAAGAAATACGTTTTCTTTTTGAATCTTCAGTAGTTTAAGTGGCAGCATGGCGTGCCTGTCTCAATGAGGGTCATGATGTGGATCTGAGGTTCCTAGGTGTTCCCTCTAAGCCTACCCTAAAACCACTTTCTCATTCAGTTTTGTATAACTGTAGTTTCGAGCTCTAGGAAACCCTGTTTGGAAAGGAACMCACCACTTTTCTTTCCATTTCCATTGTCTTTGTTGGTGGTGATAAGACATGATGAAAGTGGGGCATGCTGGAGTGTTTTTTTAGTGAAGAAATATCCTCAAGGTGAACTTGAGCCACAGGCAGAAGACCAGGATTGTTAAGTTCATGGGAATTTATTAACAGAAATTTCGATGGTGAGAATTATTGAAAAAAAGACTAAGTAAGCTGAAAAGGAATAGGCAAGGAGGATGTCAGTGCTGTTTCAGAATATTTTAGGTGCTGCRATGTAGAGCAGAGGTTAGATGTATTTAGACACTGTAGTGGACAAAAGTGGGACCAAGGGACACAGAAATTAAAGAAATAAAGATATTTGCTTAGTGGGGGGAGCAGTGTAATGATTAAACAACTATCTGAAAAGTAGATTGGGGGTTGTGTGTTCCCACTGGGTGTCCAAGGAGAGTCTGGACCACTATCCATTGGAGCTGCTTTCAGGAGCATTTACAGGGCAGGTGGGTAAGCTCAGTGCCCTCCAAGGCTGCCCTGATTCTGAAAGCCTGTGACTCATGTGTTTGATTTTCAGGCCACAAGAAATAGCCAAACAGTATTATAAAGATCTGCCAGGAAAATAATTCACACCTGAGTACTAAATTCAGCCTGGTCAAAATTAAACAGAGAACCTAAATATAACCTAATCTTCTTTTATTTTCTGTTTTTGTTTCCATGGGAAAATGTGAGTTGAGAAGCTGAGTATATTCCCATTGTGCGTGATATGTTCAAAATGTAGCTACATGAGATCTCATCTGAAAAAGTCAGCCATTACTTTGTCTGTTTGTTTTAGCCAAATCATGTTTTATGCAGTAAATTTAGGAACTCCTTCTAGTACTCAGCAARTTCATCTGTAGCTCATAGGATGGGAGAGGGGCAGGGAGGTCAGAATACGCAGGTGTTTCATGGCAGCCGACTCTGTGTCAAGTACAGTGCCAACACAGTTCCTTTGTGTTACCTTTTTAATCCTTACAATAAGAGGAAACTGAAATGGAGTAGTCAATTTATTTGTCTAACATCATGCAGCTAAGAAGTAGGGGAATAGGAATCTAAAGGAAGTCTGTGAGTTCCAGTCCAGCATTGTTTTTCTGCAAAGGAAGAAAGAAAAATAGTAACATTCAGCCTAGCCACAGTATTTACCAAACAGGCCAGATAAGTGGTTTGGGGAGCATGGTCCCTGGACGGCAGCATTAGTATCACTTGGGACCTTGTTGGACATGCACATTCTCAGGCATCACCCCAGACCTAGTGAATTAGAAACTCTTGGGCTAGAGTCCTACAAGCTATGTTTTAACAAACCTCTACTTGATGTTTCAGCCTTAAAAATACATGGACCTTGGTTTCTGGTGTTACTTCCTCCTCTAAGCAATTATTTCCCAAGTTACTACCTTTCTGTAAGGTTCCAGGAAGGAGAAAGGGTGCTTTCTTAAGTGCACACATGAAGAGCCAGTGGGTCTCTACCCAGCATTTCACTTTTGCAGCACAACAAAGCAAAATGTGCCACTGTCACCAGTGGCAACTTCATGGATGACAGTGGTACCAGGGATAGACAGTCTTTACAAGTGAGGCTCCCAGGCCACTCCTTGAGATTCTGATTCATGACTGAAGTAAGGCCAGAAATTCTTATTTTAAAAAGTACTTCAACTGGGCGCAGTGGGGCACCACTGTACTCCCAGCAGCTTGACAGGCTGAGGCAGGAGGATCGTGAGTCCAAAGCCAGTCTCAGCAAAAGCGAGGTGTTAAGAAACTCAGTGAAACCCTGTCTCTAAATAAAATACAAAATAGATCAGGGGATGTGACTCAGTGGTCAAGTGTCCATGAGTTCAATTCCCGATACCAAAAGAAAAAGTACTTCAAATAATTCTTTTCAACCAACAATTGTAGAACACATTGGGTTCAGGCTTCTGGTCAGAACTAATAATAAGTGCCAGGCACAGTAGCCCATGCCTATAATCTTAGTGACTCAAGAGGCTGAGAGGCAGGAGGATTGCAGTTTTGAGGCTATGGTCAGCAACTTAGCAAGGGCCTCAGCAACTGTCTCAACTAAAATAAAAAGGGCTGGGGAGGGCTGGGGTTATGGCTCAGTGATTAGAGTACTTGCCTAGCTCGTGTGAGGTACTGGATTCCATCCTCAGCACCATATAATAATAAAAAAATAAAATAAAGGTATTGGGTTCAACTACAACTAAAATATTTTTTAAAGGGGGGACTGGGGATATAGCTCAGTAGTAAAGCAACCCTGGGTTCAATCCCCAGTACAAAAAAAAAAAAGGGAATAAGTTACTATCAATATAGCAGAGCAGGCAGTCATTCCAGGTCATCCAAGGAGTAACTTGRTGCAGCTAAGAGGTGACTAAAAATATGCTTATTGGAATTACCTACATGTGTCTAGATGGAGTCCTTCTTTTGGTGTGGAGGGGAGGGTAATCAGTTGTTTTTCAGCAGTTACAAGCTTGAATATTAGCCATGATCCATAGTAAAAACTGTTAAAGATAAAACCTAAGATATGTAGAATTAAGAATTCACTAGTAAGGAATTTGCTATATTTTTAAACATAGGCAGTTCCTGCCCCTTRAACAATTGCAACTCCAAATTTCATTTGCTAACATTAAAAACATTTTCCACTAGCCGGGCCAGGTGGTGCACACCTGTGATCCCAGCAACTTGGGAGGCTGAAGCAGCAGGATTGCAACAAAGACAGCCTCAAGCAAAAGCGAGGCACTAAGCAACTCAGTGAAACTCTCTCTATAAATAAAATAAAAAATAGGCTGGGGATATGGCTCAGTGGTTGAGTGCCTCTGAGTTCAATCCCAGTTCAATCCCCAAAATTTCCACTAACATGATAGTGTAATTGGTAATCAAGTTCTCAGACTAGCTTGCAGAATTCTGTATAACCTGTGCAATATATGAAACATCGCTTTGGACTAATTCATCAAATCTTTTTTTCTGTGGGAAAATTCATCCAGTATTCCAGTCCAATGTGASAGGAATACCCCTCTCTCCACCTTGGCACTGGGACTGAGAGGAAGGACTCACACTCTAGAGTTTCAAGGAAAGGCTCCTTTTGAGGACAGCAGCAACATTCTGCTTCATTTTGCTACAAAAGTGAGATATTGGGTGAAAACCCACTGGCTCTTCACACGTACACATAGGAAAGCACCTTTCTCCTAGATTACAAACGAAGTAAATGAGAAATAATTGGCTGGGGAGAGAGCAATGCCAGAACCAGGGTCCATGTGCCTTAAAGGCTGAATGAGAATGGATCCAGGACAATCACATGTCCTTCCTAGGCTGGGTACCCTGTCCTCTAGGTAGTTCCTGCTGTGACCTTGAATGTGGCCATGAAGTCTGAACTTTATTCCTGCTCAGTCACATTTTGGTGTTTCCTATGATACCTCCCAGATGGCTAAACCCATCATGCTTCTTTTTTGTAGCAGATGTGTCCTGGGTCCAACCTCCAATTTGATCTGGATTCAGCTTGGCTCCAATTCAGTGTTGTCCAAGTTGAAGACTCACAAACCATGAATTCTAAACACAGACCCCTCATTACTTTAGGCTAATCCTAAATCAGGCAATCCCTCACATGTGTTCACTTGGAGTTCCTATCTGTCAATAAGTAGTAATTCCCAGATTGTGGCATCTCTTTATCACCTTCATTGTTTTGGCCATAGTCTTATGACAACTGTACTTCTCCTTATCTAATCTTTTACTACCCTGAGTCAGTTTACTTTTTTTTTATTTAACTTCATCCTCAACAAAAAATATATATAAAATTATAGGGGCTAGGGCTGTGGCTCAGCGGTAGTGCACTTGCCTGGTATGTGTGAGGCACTGGGTTTGATTCTCAGCACTGCATATAAAATAAAGGTCTATCAACAATTAAAAAAAATAAGAATAAAAAATTTTAAAAAATAAAAAATATATATGCATATATATATTTATGTATGTGTGTATGTGTGTATATATATATATATATAATCACAAACTTGGTACGTCAGTTATTAATTTGTTTAATACAAATTAGAATATATAAAAACATTAAAATTATTAAGAAACTTTGTCCATGTTCATCCCCTGAAATCATCTTACCTATTACTAGTGGTCTGTGTCACCCACCGGAAACTCTGTCTTTCAGTCTGCAGTAATTTATTGAATGGCTAAAGAGATAACAAACCCTAGTGGTGGAGAAAGTCATTACATGCATTGAGTAGGCTCAGTGCCAAGAAGTGTGGGGTACTGTGAATGGCTATAGTAAGAAGACTGTTTTAAGGAAGTAAAGTAGATTGCTCTGAGAAAGGCTATATGTCAGGATTAAACTTTCATAAAGTTCATATTCTAATTTTTATATAAAATCTTTGCATCAATAAGGCTCACCATTATCCATGACCTAGGGGGAAGAAAAGAAGCAGGGAGTTAACACCTGTCATGTTACAAGTGCCAGGCCAGGGCCCTTCACATGCATTATTGCATCAAACCTACATTCTAAGGGATATTATCCAGAGTTTACATACATTGAATTGGGGCCTTCTGCAGGCAGGGTGAATAGAAGCACATGACTATTAAATGGAAGAGACAGAATTTAACGTAGGTCCACCTCACTCCCAGAGCCTTTGATTTTCCTGCTCTGTCATGTTTCTTCTCATGCTGTTGTTGTCCCACCAGGCTATATTTTTTCTAGAATATTTTATGTATTACTGCAATCTATCAGCAGTGTAATATCTTAGGCCAAGAAGCAAATCACACATATAATAGCTTTGATTTTCAGTCTATCTACATTGGAAAGA